AGTTCTCCAGAGGCCTGGTAATGAACTAATCATGTGATTCAGGTGTGTTGACCCAGGGTGAGATCTAAAACCTGCAGGGACACCGGCCCTCGTGGACTGGGATTGGGGACCCCTGATCTAGATACTAAACAGAAACCAGAGGATCTAATAAGAACACTAAAGTACAGGCAAACTAAACATAAACAGAGAATCTAATCTAATTTAGAATATCCTATTGCACAGTCCAAAAACATAAACACGGGTCACTGACAGTAGGAATTGTACTGCAAAATATATGATAAAGACTCTTTAATAATTGTTAATTATTAGATTAACAATGAGAGGAAAAGAGGAAGTTAGAGGAATTTAAAGATAAATGAAAAGGATTTGTTGTTGTTTTTGGGTGGTTTTTTTTACACTGTGTTGTGTCTGACTTGTGTCCTCGTATTTTAAGAGTTTTATGTACTAAAAACTCAAAGCGAAACCTTTACAAGTAAAGCAGAACAGCACAAGCAGGAAAAAACTTCTAAAACATAAGAAAATGCGATGTTTGTCAGTTTTATTCCCAGCAGTCTCACACAACAGGAGTCAGACATTCAATAATCTCAGAGGTGCAATCAAAAGATGAACTGCTCATAACAGACATGAGGCTTAGTAATGTTTGCACAGATGTCCTGACGCCGAGCTGCTCATCAGTGTGGGGGTAGAGCTGCACACCACTGCTTTCACTGGTTTGGCGATAAAGAGCAGAGCATGCCCCGACAAACATCGCCGTTTTCATGACTGATCAGTTAACCTAGATCAGGCTTTCTAGATTTTTCTCCAAAGTCAGTGTGTTTTTTATAAAAAAAATAACTCTGTTTCACCGGATCACATCAGAGCTAAAAGCAGCTCCAAGAGAAACTGCAGTGACTAAAAATGACTAACACGCTCGTGATCTGAGAGCCACAAACAGGCTCATTTTAAAAGGTTTGTTGACCGTCAGATCTGAGCTGAAGAAGATGAACTCCAACGCTCTGTCAGGAAATGACAACATGGGGGAAAGAAGCCAAACACTCGCCCATGCACTCATCTTTACCCCCCTACCACTTCAACAAAGACTGAAAACATGCAAAATCCTCCCACACAGAAAGGAGGCGAGGACTCAGTGTTTCTGACAGTTACATCCACACTTGGAATATCTGTTAGAGTGCATGACCTCGTTACGGCACTGGACAAGAAGCAGGGAAATGACCATAACTTAACCATCCTCATCAAGTTGCTGAAAGTCTTCCAAGTCACTTAAGGTTGCTCAGCTCTCCATTCACGGACTTTTACATTCTAGTTGTTAAACTTGCTTTTCAATGACAAAGATTTTAGAGATGCAGTTGTTTGTGGCATGCCTCGTGTGTTCCAAATATTTTCATACTTTGTTACTAGGTTTTTAAAGTCAGAGTTCTTACTTTGATCTCGGAAATCTGGAAAAGAAACAAAAAAGACGTGCCCACATTTTTCTCCCCATTGGCCCTAATCGTCTTCCATAGTTTAGAGTCCACTGGTTGTTGTATTTTCAGAGTTTACAGTGTTCCCTGACAAGGTTCCCTGCTTTTAGAGGTGTTTAAAAACGATTCAGTGGAACCAAAATTGTTTTTGAGAATCATAAAAGGACTCATTTAGGTTTCAGAAGTTAATTTAAAGAGGTTTTTGAGGTCTTTCAGGTGAATCTAGTATTCTTTACAGAGTTTTTAAAGCTTTGGAAGGTGGACCATTTGAGATTTCAGTGATCCCAGGACATCACATTTTGGGTTATTTAGACCAAAATACTCAATTTTGCTCTACAAAGACCTGATATCCACTTACGAGGACATTATGCTGCTACTGTTCTATCAAAATTTTAAACGAATATCCTCATACGTGGCTCATTTTTCTAAAAACAAAAATTAGGTAAAAAAAAAAAATCTGGTAATTCTTTGTTTTTACATTCATCGGCCCCCAATCAGCCCAAATATCAAAGAGAAATCAAAAATGCATGCAGTGGAAGAGTTCGGGTCTTAGGAGGTTAAGGAAGTTTGGCGCTTTGTTAGGCCTGAAGAGCTCTTGATGAGATGAATGGGGAGGTTTTAGATGAACATATGTTATTGGTTGAAATTGCATTAGATTAGCAGTCCGATTTTCTTTAACAGTGTCTTTAAAAAGCTGTGCATATATTGAAGGAAAGGGTCTCGGCTAGGATTCAGGGTCCTTGAATCTGCTGGAATCAGTACTGACATTTTGCAGGTCTTTCTCGTGGTCTTAGAGTTCTGTGGTGGGGGGCTGTTTTGAATCTAAAAATTTCAGATCATGAATCCCAACTATGATTCACCACTTTAAATTCCAAAATATCAGAAAAGCATAAAAAAACTTTACTTTTGATGTCTGTTGACTTTGATGTAAAATGTTTCTTATGTATAATTAGCCATCAATTGATGTTTAAAGCTGATTCTTATTGGCACAATTTATATATTTTCACACTCCTGAATCAGCTACTTACTTCTCTCTCTCTCTCCAGCGTTTCCATTTGATCCCGTACTGGAGAATCCTGGCCCTGTCCTGCTGGGTGAAGAAGCAGTCTTCCACTGTGATGTCATTAATGTCTTCTGGGCTAATCAGCTGAGGATTCAGTGGCTTTTGGGAAACAAAACGGTGGCGGAAAAATTGTTCAGTTTCTCCAGTGTTTTACAAAACGTCTCTTTTAGTCTCCATCACCGGGTTGACGAGGATCATCAGGTGCTGACCTGCAGCGCAGACCTACTGCAAGAAGGCGGAGACTTGTGGAGGTCCAAGAGGACCAGCATCCATCTGCAGGTCCACTGTAAGTGTTTGTTTTTATGTTTTTTCTGCAGCTCTCATTTTTTTCAGATCCAGCTTTATTAAACTCCTGATCTAATTCTTTTTCAGATCCTCCGAGGAACACATCACTGTTAATTAGGCCAGACGAGGAGCTGGTGGAGGGTCGTCACGTGACCTTTAGCTGTCACTCAGATGGAGCTCCGGCCCCAGCACTGGTGCTGAGCAGAAACGGGATGGAGCTTCAAAGAATCACACCAGCCACCTCATCACCACTGACCTTCACCTTCTCCCCCATCCTCCTGGAACACTCTGACCTTTACCGGTGTGAAGCATCCAACAAGTATGGATCTGAAGTGGCTTCTCACTCCATCACTGTCAAAGGTCAGATCATTAATAATAATTATAACAGGCTTCTTTCGTAAAGAAGGAGGGAATGACATGTTGTACACTTCGAAAAAATCATCCATCCATCTAATTCAGGATGGATGGAGGGGGGGTTGGAAGGGCGAGAGGAAGGACAGATGTCGAGGCAGGAGAAACAGGGAAAGAGACAAACATTCACACTCACGTTCACACCTTAGTGTGGTTTATAAAATCAGCTAATTTAAATTTCATCCATCCATATTTTAAATCACGCTCTACCTTCATCAGCCCTTTGTTTTCCTTTTGTTTTTTTTTTCTCTGACAGCTGTAATCAGAAGCCAGAGACAGAAATAAGCTTCTAGCATTACAGTGGAGTCATTCGTTCAGAACTTTAGCTGCCAGGCTCAGTGCCGCCATACATTCAAGGATGAAAACTCAGTATAAGTTAAAGCGTTTTGCTGCTGTGGTTTTCCTAAGAGGGCCATCAAGTGAAAGAGGTTGAAATACATTGAATAATGCAAAAGTGAATCTTATGAAAGCAGACATTCTGATCATTTCTTTACCAAACATTTAAAAATTCTCTGTCTTCTCTTGCGTCAGAGCTGATCCAGGTTGTGGCAGACATAAAAATAGATTTATGTCCGTGGGCCTTCTAAACCCAACTGGTTAAAAATAACCATATTTATAGAAAAGGCCCCATGAGCTGTAAGTGAAACAGTGAGGAGTAGATGACCTACTAAATGATGAAACGCAAAGAAGCAAAAAGTGAAAGAATGTTTAGTATCAAACTGGCACTGTTTGTTTTTCCTGTGGCAGGGCTCTCCGCTATCAGGCGATGATGTGTTGGTTAGAGGTGTGACAGAAGGTCAGCAGGTTCAGCTGAGCTGCTTTCACACGCCTTTCACGTTCACTGTATGACCCTCTTTCCACTGAGATTTAGGTTACACGTCCTTATGTTAAAAGAGGACGGGGTTAGTTTAAACAGATATGAGGCAATTGTTGTTGTGATTTGATGCTAAATAAATAAAATTGAATTGAAAATTGAATTGGTCAAACTATGACTGAAGTGTTTCTGGAAAATCAACAGAGAATGAACTTGCAGCAACGTCTACAGAATGCACTGTAAAAGCAGCAAAATACACTGTAAACTAGATGAATAAACTATAAGAACCAGCAACACAGTGCACTGTGGTTTATGCTCAAAGCATGATTTTACTGCATTAAAGATAGTACTGTACCTATAGCTATAGATGCTGAGTTGCATGGGGATTTGAGGTAGATAGTATTCTTAGAGTTTATACGATAAAGTGAATTATGAGTATATGGATATAAGTTGCTTGTGTTCTAAAGTGCTTTGATTGGACAGTAAGACTGGGAAAGTAATGTACCTTGCTATAGCTGGATGTGCATCTTACCAAGGATGTTGCTACAGTTAGTTACAAACCACAAAATCAAAAAGTACAATAAGTACAGCGATGTTATTAGTAATTTGTAAACTGTAATATATACTGTATGAACACAATATATTAGTTAGAACAAAGCTAAACTCCACAAAATGACAAGTTTCTCAGTTGGGTCTTTTCACATTTCCTGCAAAAGCAGTTGTACAACAACAACAACAACAACAAAAAGGAAGATCTAATTTTAATCTGTTTTCTTATCCAGCTCCTCCGAGGAACACCACAGTCCACATCCTGCCGTCTACAGTGGTCCAGGAGGGGCAAAATGTCACTGTCTGCTGCCAAACCATCAGTTTCCCACCGTCAGCTGTGATTCTCAAGAAAATGACCAATGGCACAGAGCTATATTCTACTAATGGAACTTTCCTACTGGTCAATCTCACAGCCAAAGACTCGGGGTTATACCAGGTCAACGTGACCAATGACCTTGGGTACCAAGTCAAAATCTTCAGCATCAGTGTCAGAGGTCAGTAAAATTCGTTTGGATTTTATTATTCCCTTAAAATGCTCAAGTTTGATTTGAACATATGTTACCCACAGCAGTTCTGTAAACAGTTTCACAAAACTGGCCTATTTTCTTGTGCAGAGAGAAGTACCAAGCTTCCACCCAGTTTCAGCGTCATCATCATCCCAGCTGTCTGCATCGCCACTGTTCTAGCAGCTTCTGCTCTGTTCCTCGACTACGTGAGGAGATCCAGGAAGAAAGGCTTTTATCAACTGCCCCAGTCTGCTCCACCTTCAGCCTGAGGCCAACCCTGGCCTAAAAGGCCCCTGGTTCATGCAGCTACCAAGTGTGTAGCATCAACACATCTGAATCTATGGCTGTCAGATTTTTTTTAAATGTGACTACCATGTGCATGTGGCTGCTGCAGGACAATATCTCAATATGACCGATGGCTTTTATTTCAACATGTGCTTTGTGCTTTTAAACACATGGCTTTGATATTCATAAGTGTGACCATGTTGTCCCAGCAATAAGCGGCTAACAAATGACATAATGATTTTCAGCATCCAGGAACATGTGGCTATATTGTCTTTCCGTGTGGTTAACACGTTCCATCACATGGCTACATGTCACATGTAACTGCCAACTCTGCAGATGTGGTTTACAGTTCATGGCCTAATCACATCCCATTGTATGGCTACTGCTTTATGTGGTTATGTAACATGTGAATTAGACATGCTGATGTGTGGCCACCACTTCTAATAAGGCATTGTGTGCTAACCATCTCCAATTATGTGGTTACCCCATCTTGACCTATAGCTAGCATTTCCTAAAATGTGACTACTACCTCTTAATGTTTTACTACCACTTCTCACAATCCCAACATGGTATAAGCCTCTCGATACACCCTCACATCCCAACAGGAATTGCCATACAGTTATCTTCCATTTGCTAAAAGCAGGCGTGTATCACGGCATGTGATAATATCAAACCCTATCCTATCCTGTCGTATCCTGTCACATCTTATCCTTGGTTATTGTGACATGGGAATTCTACCTCCTGATATACAGTTTAAATATTTCAACATGTGGCTTGCTATCTGTTCACACATGAAGCTAATTTTGTCCAACATGTGACAAAACTACCCAGAAACCACTCCCAAGTTCATGGCTGCCACACTTTAAAATGTGGCTGTTCTTCCAGCAAGTTACCAACATCCATGGCACTAATCAATACGTGACTACAAGAGTCCAGCTTGAAAAATAAACACTACCTATGGCTCAATAATCTTATATGCAATAATGTTCACTGTCAGTTTTCAGCAGCATTTTATTCTCTTATCAGGGTGAGCTGAGTTAATGACTTTTCAGTGACTGTGAACTTTCCTCTCAGTGAGAGCTACTCAGCTTAAAGATTTGTGGAAAGCAAAGATGTTGCTCAACTTGTTAATGGAGACTTTCTGACTGACACCATATGGCTGAACTCTCCCAGAAAGTCTTCAGTCTCCTCCGAACTCTCGCCGTGGTACTGCTGCACACTTGGTGTGATGTGGAATTATCTGCAGAGTTATAAGAGATGATATGTAAATATGTGTACAGTTTCTTTTTGCTTGCTTTCAATAAAGATATTTATGTCTTTATTTCTTATCACAGGCTTTTTGAAATTTCAGTGTGCAGGATTTCCCCGGGAATTCCCTGTAAGTGGCGAGCTTTCGCTTTTATTTCTGTTTGATTCGGTGTTTACTGGAATCTTTGGCATTGACTCAGCTATTACCATGGTGACGGCTGAGCTGCATTTCAGTCATTTCAGCTTGCCAGCCTTTAAACCCAAAATTAAATACAACACTTTTTCTTTTCTCTTTCCTTACTGCTCATTCACAAGAAAGATCTGGCCAAGAAAGAAATTCTCACCAAACTCCCCACACACAAACTACAAAGCAACTAAAGACAGATATAAAACCACAACAACAACAAAGAAAACAACCAAAAAAGGCAAACTGACCTGAAGACACACAGAAAACTACTGCCAAAAATAAATACTGCATAAATATACAAAAAAAAGCTTTATAATACATTCTTCTAGTCTGTGAGTGTTTCTCCTATATGCAACCTTAGCCTTGTTTCTCATAATCCATCTTTGGACTCAAGTCCTAAAGGTGTCATAAAAGCCCAGAGACTTAGTGCCCAGTGAAAAACTCCTGATTGTTGTTGAAAAGGTCTAAACCAAGAAAACCACAAAACCACATTAAAAGCCCTGTTTTTATCAGGAAGCAGCAGGATATGCCTAATCATGGAAGGGTCCAACAAACTGGAAGGATAAATTAAAAGAGTTCTGTTGGCTTTTGTTTCCAGTGTGAAGCGAACTGGGTCCTCGTTGTCATAGAAACAGGAAGGTTTCAGAAGCGAGGTGTGAAGAGGGGAGTCAGTATGGATCAGACCAAGTATTTGGACCAGTTTCGAGTCAGACTCTGTAACAGTCTGTGCTTCTCTAGCTCTATTTACCATTTTAAGGAGCCGTCAACATCATTGCATAGATCTCTATGATAAACGGACCTTTGGAAGGCTGACCTATTACAGTTTCCATACTCAGGTGAGGGCTTTGAGAAGAGATTGAAGGCATGAAAAAAAAAACCCACTTCAGTGGATGATGAAATACTGATCCGTATGCAGACTCTCTGGGAAGATAATAATGCCATCTCTTTAGCTTTTAACATGCTGCTCTCAAACAAACAGAGGTGAATTAACAACACGGACTAATATGCAACTGCAGAAACAAGCCAGGTGGTGAAAACTGAAGCTTAACAAATAAGAAAACAGAGAAAACAACAGAGAACAGCTACAGCTAACATGGAGGGCAGCAGAAGTGCACTTTGCTCAGTAAAGGTACACCACACATACAAAATAAATAAGATACTATAAAACATAAAAATATATTTATTCAAAATACTATCTAAAATACTATTTTCACTTAATAGCAAATATCTTCACCACCACTGCAACAAAACTTATGACATTGGTTATGTGTACTGGCATTCGGACAGTTAGTAGATTTAGGTTTTGATTCATTTAAACTAATATAATCATCCTGCTGCAAGACAGAATAAATCAATATGTTTATCAATAATTAAATCATGTACAACCCGAGATTTGTAACAGAAGGATAGCAGTAAGAGTGAAAGGGAAAGTTTACAAGAATACCCACTGTAAGCTTAACTAGAACTCTGAGGGTGAATAATAGCCCAGAGTTCAGAAGAAAGAAATGATCTATACTGAAACTGAACAACTAAAAAAAATTGTTTAAAAATACTGCTTAAGACGCTCCAGGTCAGGAATACAAAGGAGCTCCATTTTCGTTTTGCTCTGACAGGAAATACCAACGAAACAGGAGATTAAAATGACAAGACACAGCAGAACTCTTGTCCTCACTTATTACACAACGCCACTTGGAGGTGAGAGGTCTTGGAGGCCCATCAGGACACACAATATGAAAAACACCAGATGGAGTAAAGAGAAACGCATTAATCAACAGAGTCCCTAAAATGTTTCAGCTGAATGTGCGTAAACTACAGTCGCACACTCCATGAGTGTGCCTGCATAGATGCCACAGTCATCTGGACAGATAAATGTATGTTATTTTTCCGTTTTGTATTCCAAATGCATTTGGAATGAAATAATCCGTTCTACTTTAAACGGCCAAGGCTTTATTTGAACAGGTCTCCATCTGCATAGAAACGACTGCATAAAAGATGCAGGCCATAAATCTTTTTTCTTTATCCTTTAACCTTGGTTTCTCTACTAGAGGTCTGGGAGCTTGAGGGTCCTGCACATTATCTTTGCTGTTTCAAGGACTGTGCTCTTCTGGACAGGAATCTCAGATGTTGCTGGAGCCACCTGTCTATCCTCTTCATGTAACCCTTTCTGCTGGGGTTACTTGCCTAGTAGAATTCCAACAGTGCCCTGTTCTCATCTCTTGCCCACTTTTGCCTCCTTGTTCCACTAGCCTACTTCTCATCAGTGTGTCCTGGTTCCTCAACACCTGACATGGACCTTGTTAATCTAGGCTAAGGACTATGCCATCAGACTTGGAGGTGATGATTCTTGTTCCCACCACTTTGCACTCTTCTACGCTTTGTTGATAATCCAGGATATAATCACCTGCAAAAAACAGATGCATTGTTCACCCTCTATCTGACGTTTGATTAACAGATGAACTCTTTTTTTTTTCCAGCGCCTTGGCACACTTAGGAGTCTGATCCCCCTGTAATTGGAGCACACTGTCCCTTCCCCTTTACCTGGTGGGACAAAATGGCCCCAGCCAGGGAAAAAATAGGAGGTTCCCCACAGAGAGCCTTCTAAACCAGCAGGAAGGCTGTCTGGTGCGGCTCTGTCCACTGGGCCAGATCTGGGGCACCCTTACAGGTGAAAGGTTTGGCATATACCGCCGGTAATAGCCAGCCACCACATATACTCCACTCAGGTGTCACTATGGATGATAACGCCATCCAAGTAGGTGGCAGCATATGCAGCATAAGGACACAGTACCAGGTCCATGAGGAACTGGGAAGTGGCTTGGGCTCCAAACAAGCCAAATAGAAGTATGACGAATTGGTACAAACCATATGCAGTGGAGAAAGTCACTTTCTCTGTAGACTCTAGGGACAAGGGAATCTGCTAGTAGCCCTTGGTTAAATCCAGTGTCATGAAAAAACAAGCCGTGCCTGGGGCATGGGATAAGTGTCAAACTGTGACCCTCATTCACCTTGTGGTAGTCAACACAGAACCGTATAGACCACATCTATCTTCACCACGAGAACTATGGGGCTACACCACGTACTGCACTCTTATATTACTCACATATTCAGCATCCCAGCCAGTTCCTTCCACACAATTCGTCTTTTATTTTCAAGCAATTTATAGGGGCATGAATGCAACGTCACCCAAGGCTCTATTAGAGTGGTACAACCGGGCAAGGGGGAGAACACATCTGCAATGCAAATGCAGGAACATTGAAGGATTATGTTATTTGTTATTTTCACGGTAGAGGACGTGCAAAACGATGCTGCTGCAGCGTTGGCGTTTTCTTTTCTATCCAAATGAGGGCAGTGAGTCTAATGGTTACCATGGAAACTGATCAGCAGTCCTCTCACAGCACATACTGATTTCATAACCAGCTGACTAATGTTTTATGTTTTACATTTACATGACAATTCTATCAACATAAGTGGTTTGACATGTGGTGAGCATCTTGAGACTAAAAGACAATCTCTCAAATTTAAGAAGATAAGGTGAGAGAGATACGTTAGAGAGATTAGAGATGTGGTAACAAAGCTATCCGACACCAGGTTGGGCTTTGACCTGAAAGACTCTGCACTGGCCTGGAGTGTCTGAACTTCAGCTGTATATCAGCACCATCTGCTGCTCATAGCTGAGGCAGGGCAAGGCTTTTATTTTTAAATATCATGCTATTTTTAATTATTTCCCATAGAAATCCCATACAGCTTGCGTTGCTGAAACTTTAATATTGAGCTTCATTCAGTGGTTTTAGTAAGGTGCAACTTATGGCTTAAGTTGGTTGTATAAAAAATACTCCCCTAGTATAGAAGGTATATCACACTTATAACACTAATACACTTATAACTTACTGTAAATAAAAGAGTCAAAACAAATAAAAAGAAATACTACTACTCTACTTGAGTACTCAAAGCGCTTTATACAACATGCCTAATTCACCCATTCACACAAGCGCATTTTTCTACACCTAAGTATCCAACATTCACACTCCAGTGAATGCATCGGAGACCAGCTTATGGTTCTGTACCTTGTCAAAGGATCCTTAGGCATGCAGACTGTCATAGCCAGGGATTTTACCACAAACCTTCTGATTAGTAGATGACCTCTAACTCCTGAGCTAGAGCCACTACAAATCTACATCTTCACTTGATTTTTGCAACACCCCCCCACCCTCAACAAAAAAAACCCCAAATCATTTGGTTGTAGTTTCTTGTAAAGATCCATCTTAATCAATGTACTCTTGAAGCCTCTATTATAATAAATGTCTCAAGCCTGAAAAGGGTTGGAGCTGGGCCTCTAGTCAAAGTAGGTCAAACTGGTGTTGAAAGGCCTTTAATGGTCTTGCCATGCTATTTCTTTTTCTCCAGTGGAGCCTTAAGCCTTCCATTGTCCTAGGCCTGAAGAATATTGTCTGATATTGTGAACTTGTTCTTTTTTTTTTACTATTGTTGCCTGCTGCTCCTGAACTAGCTCCATACTCCTCATCTGCATTAACTGCTTGTTCCTACATGTTTGAATGGACTGAGAGAGCAGTGAACGCTGGGCAGGCATATTGCAGGTGAGTACTCCTTAGGTAATTGGTTGCTGTCTTGTGATAATGGGTTGAAGTGGGTTTGTACTCAGACCTGTCCACAGCAAAGCAACAATGACAAAAAAGAAGTGTCAAGCATTGTTTCACTGAATGAATCACTGAAGACAGATAAGAGAGCAAGGTTAAACAGGGCACAAAGCAAAAACTAGTTCTGAACATGAGACAGCAAATTACTACCATAGTCCTGAGAACAACACGGCAGAGAAGCGAAGCACAAGCTGTTTCTTTTAATACTACTGACTGACAGGTCTCCAACCT